GTGGGCTAGGCAGGCAGGTGGGCAGGCCGGGCAAATGGGCAAGCAGTCAGGCCAGGCAGGCGGGCAGGGTGGACAGGCTGGGCAGGAAGGGTGGACTGGTGGGCAGGCTGGGCAGGAAGGGTGGACCAGCAGACGGGCAGAGTGGGCAGGCGGGCAGGGTGGGCGGGTGGGCAGGCATACAGGCGGGCAGGGTGGGCGGGCGGGCAGGCATACAGGCGGGCAGGGTGGGCGGGCAGGCGTATGGGCGGGCAGGTGGTCAGGCAGCCCTCTCCCACAGTCCTCATCGACGGTGTGGAGTGCAGCGATGTCAAGTTCTTCCAGCTGGCCGCGCAGTGGTCCTCCCACGTGAAGCACTTCCCCATCTGCATCTTCGGACACTCCAAAGCCACCTTCTAGCCCCGCCCCAGCGGGGGGGCCCCACCTGCCCCAAGCACCCACCACGCTGGGAGGGGCCCAGCTGCGTTTCTGTTAACATTTCAGTTTACTACAGAGACAGACCCTTAAAACACAAAGAGAAACAGTCTTAAGTATGAATGTGCTCACAACCTGGAAACTAACGGGGGAGCTCCTGCCGGGAGCCGAATAACTGCTCTGCTTATTAACCTGAACGTTGGGCCCGGGGCTGGGAGGCCGGAAGGACAGTGCTGACCGCGGACGTGGAAGGTGTGCTGTGGCCCCACAGGCCAGGAGGGTTCTTGCCTTCGCGTCCTGTCCTTCCTGGAAGTCAGGACTCTGCTTCCTCAGGGAGCCTGGGCCAGGCGGAGCTTGGTGGCCACAGGCCGCTCAGTCCTGTTGGGGTGTCCTGAGTTAAGCCTGGGGGCCCATCCTGCCTGCCTGAGAGATGCCCCCAGCACCGCACACTCGTGGTTCCCAATAAACTCCTGCCTGCGGGCGGAGGTTTTATAGCAGCAGATATTTTTAATGCTTTTAAATACATGTTATAATGTAGCTGCCAAACATGTTGCTCTTCTGAAGTCCCCTGGGGCTGGGAAGAGCCAGCAGAGCCTATCTCCGCTCCCCAGCCCTGCCCATCTGTCTCCCACCTTCCCTCAGCAGAGCCTGCCCCCACTCCAGCCCTGCCCACCCCACCTCACACCTTCCCTTCTGAGGCTGTTCTTGAGATACTGTGACACCTCTGTGTGTAGTCCTTGCCCCAAACTTAGCACGCACAGGGGCCTCCATAGCCCTAGGTGGCCCCAGAAAATGTTCCAGACCCCAGCTTGGGACACAGTGAGAGCTGCGGGGGTCAGCCTGAGGGTGGGGGCTGCTTCTTCCTGCTCCCAGTCCAGTGGGCATGTCTGAGGGTGGCCATGTGGGTATCTGAGTTGAGATTCAGGTTTTGGTGAATGTGGGGCAGGTGTCCAGGTATGTGTTTGTCACCTGCCGCAACACTGGCCAATGAAGGTTCTGGCAGGATGGCCTGAGCAGAGGGCTGGCTCTTTGGAGCCGTGGGTGTAGCCACATACCCTGTCCAGGGCCTGGGAGCCTCTCTAGTCCAGACTCAGAGTGTCGGGTCCCATGCCCTCCACACAGCAGGAGAGGGGCCTCCCCAACTGCACCTGCCCCTCGGTCCTGCTTCTCCCCAGCAAGCCTACACTCTGGGGTCTCCATAGGAGGGAACCAAGGAAGCTGGGGACCCCCTGGTCACCCCTGGGGGCCTCTGAGCCTGGTTTCGTAAGATGGAGCACTGTGCAAGGCTATGCTCAGAAAGTTGACAAACAGGGCAGGTGGGCCTCGAGCCTGGGCTGGAGGGGTTTCCACCCTTGTTGGCCTGAGAAATGGTCCATGTTTCTTACTTGTGATTGCCTTGCTCTTCCCGTGCCCCCCCCCCCTGCAGGTGGCTGAACAGGGTGCTTTTGTTGTGGCGAGGTGCCAGGATGTGACCTGGGGTGGGACCTCAGCCCCCTGGGTTCAGGGCTCAGAGGTAGCCGGTATGCAGTGCCAAGTTGGAGCCCGTCTCAACCAGAGCCCCTCCATACCAGGGCCTCCAGCTTCACCTGGGACCAGGAGCCTCAGGCACACCCTGCGGGGAGGGAGTAGGGGTCTGGGGTGAGGGCGTGGGTCCCTGGGCTGATGGCCTCTGACCTTGGCAACACTCAAACAGGTGGGACCCTGACCCTCCCCCTCATTCCAGCTTCCCAGTGCTGGGCTCCAGACTAGAGCATCTGTTTTTCTTCTCTTCCAGTTTCTTTTATTTTTGAGACGGAGTTTTGCTCCGTCACCCAGGCCAGAGTGCAGTGGTGCAATCTCGGCTCACTACAGCCTCTGCCTCCTGGGTTCAATCGATTCTCCTGCCTCAGCCTCCCGAGTAGCTGGGATTACAGGCGCCTGCCACCACACATGGCTGTTATTTTTGTATTTTTAGTAGAAATGGGGTTTTGCCATGTTGGCCAGGCTGGTCTTGAACTCCAGACCTCAAGTGGTCCACCCGCCTCGGCCTCCCAAAGTGCTGGGATTACAGGTGTGAGCCACCGCGTCCGGCCTGGTCTTACAATTTCTTTCCCAAAGGTCACACTCAGTAGGAAGATGAAGGTGGAAACATCCTTGCCGTGGCTTTCTGGCCTCAGAGCAGGTGTTAGAGGAAGGGGCCACAAGCTGCCTAGTGCATCCTGGCTGTGGGCGGCCCCTTTCCTGGAGCCCTCCTGCCTACCACACACCTCCCCATCTGGCTCTGCAAGGGAATAACATGGCAGACCATCCAGCAGCTGGGGGTTCTGGTGGCATTCCCTGCGCCCCTGCCGCTGCTGGTCTGCAGGTCTGGCTTGCACACCACTCATCCATCTGCCACTCCATGCCCAGTGCCACAGTGGTTGGGCAAACGAGACCTGGGCTGGGCTCGCTCTCTGTGCCTCAGTTTTTCCACTGGTTAGGATAGTGGTGTTTCCCCTGCCTACCTCAGAGCTGTTTGAGGGTGCGTGGAGGAGCACCCTGTCCCTCCGAGGACAACTAGAAACCAAAGCCATCTGACGGCCAGTGCGGTGAGGGTGGGCGCGGGGCGGGGTATGTGAGGCCAGCACACCCCTGAGACCTTGGCCGGGGACTGGCCCCACAGGATGGAAGGCAGCCCTTGTACAGTTGGGCTCAACCCCGTCAGCCTCAAAGGTTAGGCCACCTGTCACCGCCGAGGCGCCCGTCAGGCCTGGTGGCTACTTTCCACTATTACGTAGACAGACTCCACCCTCCACCCTTGACCAGGCCAGTTGGAGGCCAGCCCCGCCTGGCCCGCTGCCTTCCTCTTCCATGTTGGTCTCTGGGCACACAGGCCAGTGTCCTGGGTCAGTGCCGCGGCCAGGGCTGGGGCCGGAGAGGGCCCCTGGGTGAGAGCTGCGGGGGGTGGGGGGCGCTCCAGGGGACTGGCACCTCTTCATGCTGTCCTCATGCCCAGAGGGAAAGACCTGAGTGTCTCTGGCCTTCCTCCGGGAATGAATTCCTCCAGACCCACTCCAGTTCCTGAGCCGCCCCTCCCCAGCCCTGTCCTCTCGCCTCGGGTGTCGGCTGCAGGGTACCCCTGGAGCCTGACTGCAGGCACGGAGGCACCACTGTGGTTTCTGCAGACCCCCATGCGGTTCATTGTGCATTGTTTGGTTTCCAGGGTGTATGTGTTGCTAGTTTTTCTTTTTTTTTAATGAAACCGGCATTAATGTAAATAGCTTTTTGGGGAACGGACTCTAATCTGTCACGTGGTGACCGTGTGGACTATTTTAAGGTGCTGATGCGACACTAATAAACCTGGAGGGGCCTGCCCCTGCCTGCGGTGTGAGTCTCTCGGCAGTCCACCCCTCGGGGGCTCGCGCAGAGCGGCCGCAGCGCCTCCCTCCCGCCCACGCGCCCTTTCCCGGGGCCGCCTCGCCGCACCCCTGCGGCACCGCCTCGCCGCACCCCTGCGGCACCGCGCGCGGGGACGTGGGCCCCGGGAAGCGTGCAGGGCGGGAGGGCGCTGGGGCGGAAGAACTCAAAGCTCAGGTCTGCGCTTAGGCAGACCCAGAGGCCGACGCCCACAAGGGCCCGCGAGGCGGCAGCGGCGATGAACCCGGGTCTGTGCCGGGGACCACGAGGCCGCGCCCCCACCACCCCATATACCCCGAAACGGAACCCAAGACGCAGGCGCGGCGCAGGCCGGAAGCGGAACCGGAACCGGTGGGGGCGGGGCCTGCACCAGCGGAAGTTCCGGAGGGAGGCGCGGGCCCCTGGGGCCGCCGTGGGCCCCACCCGTCACCCTGTGGCCCCTCCATCCGCGGCGGCTCCGTATCCCCCGTCTCCGGTCGCCCGCGTTACCCCCACCGCTGACCGCCTTCCTGCGTGCCCCTCCCCGCAGCGAACCCCAGGGTGCCCCCGGCTTCCAGCGTGTGTCCTGAGCCCTTCTCCCCTGGCCGCGCACTCGCCCCGGAGAGGGCGGGCACGTAAGGGCTTGGGCTGGGCCTGCTGGGGTGAGGCGTGGAGGTCTCAGGGGCGGGGGCAGTGTGGCGGCAAGAGCTCTGGGCCTTTCCTTCGCCCCGGGCGTCGCAAGGCCGGGCCTTGGGAGCGTGCCCGCAGTGCTGGCTGAGGGCGGATGCCCCTGAAACCGGGTCTGGCAGAGGCGTGGAGTCCGTGCGGGGAGGCTGCTGAAGGCTGACCAGGCTCCCGGGGTGGGGAGGGCAGGGGCAGAGGGCAGTTCGGGAGGCTGATGTGGAGAAGAGCTGCGGCGGAAGCTGGGGGATCCGCTCCACCCAGTGGGGTCGAGCGTCGGGCTCCCTGGTGAGCCCCACCCAGTGATGCCTGACCGCTGGCTCGAAGGCGACCCTAGCAGACCCTGACACTGCCACCATCTGACCCCAGGGACTCAGGTACTGGTGGGCATACGGTGGCCTTGGGGCCCTGCCCCACCTCATCCTGCTCCCTCCCCCGATCTCAGAGCTGTGGACAAGCAGTCTGCTAGTGCTAGAGATGGACAGCAGGAAGCTGGCCCCCCAGGGGAAGAAGCTGGAGTGGCACCTCTCCCAAGAGCACAGGCGGCCCCCACTGGGCCCTACAGCAGCCTCGGGCCAGCCCAGTACTCAGAGCAGCGCTCAGCAGGGACTGCAGACTCAGGACTGGGTAAGCAGAAGGAATCCTGGCTGAGGCCATCCTCCTGGCCCCAGCCCGCCTGAGGCCCCTCTCTGGAAACTCCAGGCTGGCCTGATGGGCAGCCTCGGAAGGGCTGAGTGGGGCCTGACAAGAAAGATGCTGGACATGGGGCCTGTTTTCCCATGGCCCTGTACGAGCACCAAGGTGGACCTGCACCCCTCTTGCCTCCAGAACCGTGGGGTCGCAGGCCTCTGCTGGGCTCTGTAGAGAGGTCTCCTAAATCCAGGAGGGAGACAAGACAACACACTTGCCTCTGCCTCAGGCTGAAGGTGGCAGGAAGTGGGAGGGAAAGCAGGGTCTCCAGCAGGGGTGGTGTCCTCCCAACCAGCTGGGTCAGCTGTCAGGAGAAAGTTGACCGAAACTAAGTGTTGAGGGTGGCTCTGCTTGTGGCAGCCCCAAACCAGAAGCATCTCCTGGTCTCTCTGCTGCTGGACAGCAAGCTGCAGGCTTGTGCCTGGCGCAGGAGTGAGAGTGGCGGGACGCAGCTGCTGAGCCCCAGGACGTTCTCTGAGGGCAGAGGAAGCCAGACCCCCACTTGCATGGTTCCACTTTTGGAAGGTTGAAAGCCAGGCTCAGAGATGGATCTAGGCTATGTGAGATGGCTGCAGGGGCTCCCGGGCACTGGCAACGCTTTAATGGCTGATGCTGGTCATGCGGCCAGGTCAGTGTGGGGAGCTCATTGAGCCATGCCCACAGGTGTGTCTGCGTGTATGTCCCATGGCTGCTCACTGAGCCCCCTTTGTACCCTCCCAGTCATGCCCTTCAGGCCCAAATGCCTTTCAAGTTCCTGTGAGGGTATCAGGTGCTGGGGAGTGGGATGACCCAGCCAGCAGCTGCAGTGACTTTTGGGAGGTGAGCATCTTCTGACAGTCCAGACTGTAAACACATAGAGGTCACCTGTCTAGCAAGGGCTGCTCGGGAGGAGGGTTGGGGTGTGAGGCTTCCATCCTGAGCAGGGCTGGGGACAGGGCACTGTGCCTGAAAGGGTAGGGATGTGGATGCAGGAGGAGCATGCTTGGGACCTAGGTCCTGCATGGGGACCTGGGGACCTGGTGGCTCCTGGGCAGGGGCAGCCAGGCTGCGTCTGTAGTTCCAAGAGATGGACTGGTGGCTGTGGATAATGGTTGTTTAGGATGAGGCTGGGAGGCAGGAGAGTGGGCTGAAGGGCTCTGTGGGCAGGCGGGCAGTGGAGGAATGAGGGAATGAGGTTGTTGGCCAAGGGCGGGAAGGGGCATGGGTGCATCTCTGCTGACCTGACAGGCTTTTAATTTGGGGACAGGAAATCTTCCCTAAAAAATGTGGGTGCCCAGATGATTTGACAGGTGTATGACACTCCCAAACAAGAAATCAGTCGTCCTCACTGGGGAAGCTTCATCTGCCCAGAGCCACTTCTGCTATGGAGCTGGTATCACCCAGTACCAGTGCCAGAAGAGAGCAGAGGGAGAAAAAGAAGGAGAAAACGACCTGCCAGTCTACCTGTGGCCCTAGATTGAAAAATCCTGAGTAAACACTGGAGCAAATCCAGTAGCACCTGAAAGGCTGAGTTTCACAGCCATAAGGATGGGTCCTGTGCGCTTCCGCCTGCCAGGAGAGCAGGCGCAGGTCTCTGCTCACATCTCTGTCCCAGTGCTTAGGGTGGGGCCTGGCACAGAGCAGGTGCTCAGTGAACGTATATGGAATACGTGAAATTGTATGTAAATCAAAGAAGACTGTAACCCAAGGGTAAAAGAATTTTGAAATCTGTAAATAAAGTTAATTAACAATAAGTGGAAAATCATGATTATCTCAGTGGATGTTGAAAAGTAATAATAAATTCCAGTATCTTCCCTTAAGAACAGAAGAAGTATAGAAACCTGTAGGTTCTGGATAAAGTGGGAAGAGATGGACATCTCTTGCCTGACAAAGGGAAGCTCTCAAGAGCTTGCAATGACCAGCATGGAAATATTTCAGATGGAAGCAGACAGGGATGCATGGTATCACCATGACATTGTACAGTATTCTGGAAAATCACCCACTGCAGTGTGTCTCATGCCTGTAATTCCAGCACTTTGGGAGGCCAAGGTGGGTGGATCACCTGAAGTTGGGAGCTGAAGACCAGCCTGGCCAATGTGGTGAAGCCCCATCTCTACTAAAAATACAAAAGTTAGTTGGGCGTGGTGGCAAGGGCTTGTAATCCCAGCTCCTTGGCAGGCTGAGGCAGGGGAATCGCTTGAACCTGGGAGGCGGAGTTTGCGGTGAGCCAAGATTGTGCCACTGTACTCCAGCCTGGGCGACAGAGGGAGATTCTGTCTCAAAAAGTAAATAAAAGAAGCATGGAAATCTGGAAGTCGAAGCCTGTACAGTAAATCAAGAAAGTGAGATGTATAAATATCTATAAAAAGTTGAGAATCACTATTGGCAGCTAATATGTTACCTACTTGGAAAATCCAATTTAAGAAACGAGTAAGGATAAAAGAGGGAGTTTGGATATGTGGTCGCCATTTACAACTTTTCGGCACAGTAAAAATAACCAGAAAATGGAATAGAAAAAAAGGATACTATTCCATTTAGTGAGAGTATGAAGTTCCTGGAAATAAACCTATTGTTAAATTCCTTTATGAAGAACACCATAAAATGTACTGAATAACACGTAGAGCTCCTCATGGAAGTGTGTGTCTCATTATTTGATGGATAGAGTTCATGTGTTTGTTTTTGAGATGGGGTCTCACTGTGTCACCTAGGCTGGAGTACAGTGGCATGATCACAGTGTTACTGGAAAAGGGGTCTCCGTGCAGATGCCAAGAGAGGGCTTTTGGATCTCATGCAGGAAGCAATTTGAGGCGAGCTGCGGAGTGCAGTGAGATCTTTTCTTGAAAGCCACTACATTGCAGAGCAGAGCATCCTTAGCCGGCAAGCAGTTTTCCTTACATCGAGGTCTTATCTATGTAAAGACTAAACTAAGCTGCGCCTACATGTGAGTGGGCTGACAGCATAACAGAATGTATTATTCCATTGATTAAAAGAAAACTATTTGGCATTTTAGTGTGCAAGTACATTAAAGCATAACTACAGTTACCTTGAAAGCATATATTATTGTGGATATTGGGACATCTGAACTTCCTTTCATAGGATTTGTCCTTGCAGGCGTTCCCAAGCTGCTTCCTTAGCTGTAAACATCTTAGGACAGTGGTTGTGACCTGCAAGGAATGTGCTCTGTTAGTCTCAAAGTGGAGTTGAACAAAAATGACGTTACTCTAGCTCTCCTAGGCTCCTGCTTCCCTAACAACCGCTCCCTACAGCGTGGACCTCCTGGACTCAAGCTTTCCTCCCACCTCAGCCTCCCAAGTAGCTGGGACCACAGTTGCACACCACCACGCCTAGCTAATTTTTAAAATTTTTTGTAGAGACAGGGACTTGCTGTGTTGCCTGATTTGGTCTTGAACTGGGCTCACGTGATCCTCCAGCTTCAGTGTCCCAAAGTGTTAGGATTATAGGCATGAGCCATTGCGCCCAGCCAGATTTAACGTTTTAAATGTGCCAAGCTTCCCAAAAACAATTCAGTGCAACCTCTATTTAAAACTAAAACAAAAATAGACTTTTCAGCCCGGCACGGTGGCTCACGCCTGTGATCCCAGCACTTTGGGAGGCCGAGGCAGGCGGATACCCAGGCATGGTGGTGCATACCTATAATCCCATCTTCTCATGAGAATCACTTGACCCCGGAGGTGGAGGTTGCGGTGAGCCAAGATCGCGCCATTGCACGCCAGCCTGGGCAATGAGCAAAACTCTTGTCTCAAAAAAATAAAAAAACAGGCTTTTCATGAATCTTGAAAATTTAATTGTAAATGTACATAGTGATTCTGGAAATGTATTACTAGTTTACTTTTTTAAAAAATTAGAGGGTCTCACTATGTTACCTAGGCTGGTCTCTAACTCCTGGCCTCCCAAGGAGCTGGGATCATAGGCGTGAGCCACCATGCGGAGCCTGTGGCAATGTATTAGTTACCCATTGCTGCAAGACAAGTTTCCCCAGAGCTTATCAACTTAAAACAGTAATTATTTTTATCTCAGTTTCTGTAGGTCAGAAATTTGCCTAGCTGGTGGCTTTGGTTTGAGATCTCTTAGTAGCTTATAGTTGAGATGGCAGTCAGAACTTCAGTCATCCCAAGGCTTGAGGAAGGCTGGAGGCTGTTTCCAGGGCAGCTCACTCACATGACTGGTGAGTCTGGGATAGGGCTGGCAGGCCACCTCAGCTCCTCACCACAGGGATCTCCCCAGAGGATGTCTTCAGTATCCTAACAGTATGGTGGCTGGCTTCCCCTGGGGTGAGTGCTTGGAGAGGGAGTGAGCTGGAAGCTGCAGTGACACCTTGGCGGTCACACTCCCTTATTTCTGCAGCATCTTTTTGCGATGTGCTGGTCATCCTATTTCACGTGGGAGGGGACGACACAAGGGCATGAGTACCAGGAGCTGAGTATCACTGGATGCCATCCTGGAGGATAGCTCTCACAGGCAGTCACTTAGTCTATGGGGCTTTAAAAGATGATGTACTGAGAGGCATAACAGCCAAATTGCAGAACGCCAGAGACAAAAACCTCAGAAGCCATTTGAGCGGGAGGACGGAATCTTCAAAGGAGCCACATGAACCGCCGTGGGAGCTCATTACAGTGGAGCGGTCGCGTGCCTGCGCTCAGGGTAAGTCATGTCAACCTTGAATATTAGGCCCAGCAAAAATGCATTTCATGAAGAGGGCTAAAGGTTTAAAATGATAAGCAAAAAAGAGAATTCACCCCCAGCACACTCTTAGTTTGGTTCTGAAGAAATGATCTCAAACATCATGAAAGTGATCACAGAAGGTCTGAAATGGATAAAGAATGAGAGGAAGTAGGAAGTGCATAATTTGAAACTGACAGTCACTGGATGTCACTCATGCACAGAAAAGGATTCAATTGGTATATGCACCTGCAGTGGCGTAGATGTCAGGGTGGTGCCTGTGAGTGGAACTAAAGTGTTCTAAGTTTCTGTGTTTGAGAAGAGGATGGAGGTTGGCCATGATTGCTCACACCTGTAATCCCAGGACCTGGGAGGCCAGGATTGCTTCAGCCCAGCCTGGCAACGTGAAAACCACCATCTCTACAAAAAATGCAAAAAGTTAGCCAGGTGTGGTGGCATGTACCTGTAGTCCCAGCTACTTGGGAGGCTGAGACAGGAAGATCACCTGAGCCTGTGAGGCAGAAGCTACAGTGAGCTAAGACTGTGCCACCGCACTCCAGCCTGGGCAACGAGAGCCAGACCTTGACTCAAAGCAAAAATGATGGAGTCGCTTTGTCAACTTTAGATTTAGATGAGTTTGCATGCCCTCACTGACTACAGCAGCAGAACAGAAAGCAATACAGTGGCAGAATCACCAGTATGTCGTTTAATTCAGTCAATGAAAACGGACTAAGCGTTCCAGTTAAAAGACAGACATGGGCCGGGTGCAGTGGCTCACACCTGTAATTCCAGCACTTTGGGAGGCCGAGGCAGGCGGATCAGGAGGTCAGAAGTTCAAGACCAGCCTGGCCAACATGGTGAAATCCCGTCTCTACAAAAAATACAAAAATTAGCTGGGCATGGTGGCGCATGTCTAATCCCAGCTACTCGGGAGGCTGAGGCAGGAGAATCACTTGAACCCAGGAGGTGGAGGTTGTAGTGAGCCAAGATTGCACCACTGCACTCCAGCCTGGGTGACAGAGCAAGACTCCGTCTCAATAAAAAAAAAAAAAAAAAATTAGCTGAGCATGGCTACTTGGGAGGCTGAGGCAGGAGAATCGCTTGAACCCAGGAGGCAGAGGTTGTGGTGAGCCAAGATTGAGCCACTGCACTCCAGCCTGGGCGACACGAGTGAAACTGTCTCAAAAAAAAAAAAAAAAAAAAAGAGACAGACATGGTCAGAATTTAAAACAAGCAACTTCAGCAGTCAGCCTGTGAGTGTGTTCGGGGAAGCACAGGAAGATTCCAGCCCTGAGGTGAAGATGACACCAAACAGCCGGGCATCAGTTCACATCACGTTTTTCAGTCAAACAGCAAACTTACCTCGGGTTTGGGAGTGTGAGTGTGTGGACGCCTGTTGCGTGCAGCAACGAGTGTGAGTCTCACAGACCTATTCCTGAGTGAAAGAGGCAAGTGACAAAATTATTCATGCCGTGTGGCTTTGTTCAGAGTTCAAAAGCATGCAGAAGTATACAAGATAATTGCTAATATTCGTTAAAGTATAATTTGAAAAAAAATAAAGATGTTTTAAAATGTTTTCTTGGAAAAGGAACCAAGCAACAATTCTGGAAGTGAGAGAAAGGCCTGGCTTGCCGCTCCAAGCTCCAGTGACGAGAACTGTGTGACCCTGCGGTGGAAGGTGGCAAAGACGCCACTGCCTGGGACAAGTGCCCCGGAAGCCGACCTGTGCATGAATGTGGGGATTTAATTTATGCTGAGCATGGCATTTCAGAGCAGTGAGAAACAGACCTTTCAGCAAGTGGTATTGGGAGAGAGAAGATGGGAGTGCCGCCCACCGCTCGAAAAATGTGCACACAACACACAAAACACTCAACCCAAACCCTGTAAGCACTGGGAGAGTGTATGAGAGAATGTTTAGGATCTGGAAGTGGTAAATGCCTTTCGTAAGCCAGACACAAAATCCTTGAAGGAAAAGCCTGACAAATCTGACTACAGAGTTTTTAAACATTTCTGTGCAATCAAAGACACAAAAATGTTAAACGACAGTCTAGAAGAAAATGCTTGTAATATTTATAACATTCAAATGTTTACCAACCAGAATCTATGAAGAGGTGCTTGAAAGCAATGAGGAAACTATTTTAAAAACTGAATAGAAAAGTGGGCCAGGCACAGTGGTTCACCACTGTAATCCCAACACTTCAGGAGGGCAAGACAGGAGGATCACTTAAGGCCAGGAGTTCAAGACCAGTCTGGGCAACACAGTGAGACCCTACCTCTGCAAAAAATAAAAGAATTAACTAGGGCTGGCCTTGCTGGCT